TTCTCAGAAGCCCCCACGCCCTCTGAGAAGTGTTTCTTGTCTTCGGAGGAGGCTTAGAAAACTTCTCGGAAGGCCGGGCAGGAGCTACTCGCACAGGGCAGTTTTTAATACAAGGGTTTTTTTAAGAAAAAAATCTCGGATTTATGATGCATGATCAACTGATGGAAGAAAAAATATGCATGACAAATCATCATTGTTATTAAGGCTAAATCCCTGCATGTTTGATACAGGATCCGCGCGCGGAGCATGTAGTAAAAACGGTACTGCATGTTGAAAGAAACCCGCGATAACGGCCGTCACCGGCCCCGCCCCCCTCCCCTCCCAGGTGACGTCACGTTCCGCGCCGGCGGCGTGCTGGAATGCCTACGGATGACCGCGGCCAAGTTGGAGCAGCATGCAGGCCACAACGCCTGTGTACACCGCAATGCTCGCGCGCACCACGACGGGCGTGCACACCACAGCGCCTGCGTACACCGCAACAGCCGCGTACAACGCAGCGCCTGTGCACACCGCAGTGCTCGCATGCACCACAGCGCCTGTGTACACCACAACGAACGTGTACAACGCCGCAGCCGTCCGCAACGCGGCGCCTGTGTACACCACAGCGTTTGCGTGCACCGCAGCGCCTATGCACACCCCAACGCCTGTGTACAACACATCATCCGCGTACAACACAAAGCTGGTGTACCCCAGTGCGCCAGCGTGCACAAAACAGGGAACAACAACGCCACAGCGCCCCCATGCCACAGCGCCTCCCGCTGCACTGCCTCCAGTGCCCCACGCCTCAAGCGACCTTTTTCAGGAGGACGCCACCCCTGTTTCTGTGCGCGTCCCGACCCCCAAGGCACGGCACCTGCTCTTCCTCCTAATCCTGTTCCTCCTTCTCCTCCTCATCTTCCTCCTCTTACTCCAGAGGGCTCGTAGACTTCCAAAGGCTCTCATTTTCCCATAACAGTCCTCTGTAGAATCCACCTTTTTGTGGGACCCACAGGCGCTCCATTTTTTCAGAAAACGCCCTTGTAAAATTCTACATGCAACAATGGCGTTCTGATGCACACGGTTGTTGTGGTGCAAACAAGCGCCGTGGTGTACACAGGCGCGGTGGTGCACGCAGGCACTGTGGTGCACACGGCTGAAGTGGCGTACGCAGGCGCAGTGGTGTACACAAGCGCTGTGAAGCACGCAGGCATTGCAGTGTACTCTGGCGCTGTGTTGCACGCGGCTGCTGCGGTGTGCACAGGCGCTGTGGTGTACGCAGGCGCTGTGATGCAAGCAGGCACTGTGGTGTACACGTGCGCGCTGCGGTGCAACTCGCAACCTACATGCTGCTGCTACCCATCCTCGGTCATCCCTAGGCATTTCCAAACGTCACCGTCGCGAAACGCGACGTCAGCGGCCCCCTATCCCCCCCCCCCGGTGACGGCCAGCATCGCCCCGAAATTTGTTAAAAGCAGGCTCCATCTGGTCAGAACGCACACAGGGGGTTCCAGGGAGTAGCGGTATCGTTACCTTTTGGATTCCCCAGCAACCGCCTTCTGACACTCTAAGGGGAAGACCTCCTGACATTCACATCCGCTGCCGCGCGAGGTGCGCAGCAGTCAGCTGGGAGCCAGAGCTGGGCCTGACCAGTCCTGGACCCCCCGACGCGGAACTGGCCAAACGGGAAGAGGGCGTGGACTGTCCGAACTCCGTCACGTACGGCAGCTGCTCCATGCTGTCGGCGCCCACCATCTCAGTAACCACTTTCTTCGACTGGTCCTTACGTGACCACTCTGGGACCCAACCGCTGCAGACCGTCAACCTCAAGTAGCTGCGGCCGTCGCTAACATCGACCTTGGCCCCAACCACCGTAAACTCGACGCCAGGGTAAAGGTACGAAGCCACCTTGGTGGCCGCGTCGCTTTCCTTGAGCGCCGCCACTTTCTTGGCGCTCGGGATTTAGCCTTCGAGACGTGCTTCAGTGGCAGCTCAGGCGTCTCGCCCGACAGAGCCTCGGCTGCTTCCACCCAGCGGCTGCGCGAGCGAAGCACAGGGCTGCGCCAAACAGTGGCACCGCAGGTGCAGCGCACGCCAACCTCGCGGCAGGCAGCCAGCGGTAGGAACGGCGAAACCTAGGCACGCATACCGCCGGCACCACGTCCCAGCCGAGGGCCTACGATCGACCCCTGGAAGCTCGAGGATGGGCACCGATGATCCAGGATCGAGCGGGGGGTATGGACGGAGGCGACGGCAACGACGACGACAGCGGCGGCGGGCGGCGGCGCCGGAAGGGCGGCCACAGTCGTCCGCCACCAACACCACCACCACAACCATCATCATCATCATCATCATCATCATCATCATCATCATCATCATCATCATCATCAGCATCATCATCAGCAGCAGCAGCAGCAGCATAATCATCAGCACTATCATGAGCAGCGTCCATCGTCGTTGTCGGCATCATCAGCAACATCATCCAGCGTAATCGTAAATGTAACCATCACCATCATCACCATCATCACCATAATCACCGTCATCCTCCACCTCATCACCGTCGTCAATCATCATCATCCCCATCGGCATCGTCACCATCATCATCAGCATCATCATCATCATCCTCATCATCTTCATCAAACTCATGATCATCATCACAATCGCCATAGAGCATCATCAGAACCGACATCGTCATCGGAATCCTTGTCATCAACGCAGACATCATCGTCGCCATCATCTCGTCATCACCATGACCACAACCATCACGGGCAGAAAGAAAGGACAGAGAGGAGGATGAGGAACACAAGGAGCAGGAAGTACAAGAAGAAGCCAAAGACACATCTTTATTAGCATGCGTGGACCCAAAACAGTTTTTCGTGCAAGGGTGAGATGGAAGCTATGCGGCATAAGCTGTGTGGTGAAAACTATGCCCGGGGCCCACGAGGCGGCATGGGCGATAACGTGCCGGGAATCCAACACACACCCCAAACGCAGAGCCCCCACGAGGCGCCCACTAGGCGGCACGGTCGGCGCAACGTGGCGAAAAACAAACAGACCCAATCGACCAATTAACGGAGCAACGCAATTACACCACAGTGCAAACACCGCTTGGGAAAATAGTCATAAGAGGAAGGAAACATGAGACACGACAGTACGGATGAGAAGGGGAAGGCTAAAAAAGAGGAGGGTGTGGAGAGGGACGTGGCAGAGAGGAAGGAAGGAGAAGGCGAGGGAAGAGGAGGAGGAGGAGGAGGGGGAGGTCAACTATGAAGGAGGAGGAAAAAGCGGAAGGAGCGAAGAGGAAGAGACGGGAGAGGATGAAGATGACAAAGGCTGACTAGGAGGACAATAACGTGAGAAAGAGGAAGGAGACAAAGGGGAGGGAGGAGGATGAACACGAAGCGGAATAGGAGGGAAAGAGAAGCCCCCCCACCCACCCCCCACCAGCATGACGTTCTCCAGCACGAACAGCCCTCCCGCCACCGCGAGCGCCTGCTGGCCCAACCCCACGTCCCCGGCCATGACCTCCGCGGCGGCAGAAAAGGCCCCAGCACCTACATGAGAACCGTTCCGGATTGTGTCCCGTTGTTCCTCCTATTTATGTTCCTCTTCCTTTTCTTCCTCCTCTTCCCCCTCCTCCACCTCTTGCTCCTTTTTCTCCTCCTCCTCCTCCTGCGCCTCCGGCTCCTCCTCCTCCTCCTCCTCCTCCTCCTCCTCCTGCGCCTCGACCTCCTTATCCTCCTCCTCCTCCTCCTCCTCCTCCTCCTCCTCCTCCTCCTCCTCCTCCTCCTCGTATCATCATCATCATCATTCATCATCATCATCATCATCATCATCATCATCATCATCATCATCATCATCATCATCATCATCCTCATCCTCATCCTCTCCTCATCACCATCATCATCATCATCATCATCATCATCATCATCATCATCATCATCATCATCATCATCATCATTCATCATCATCATCATCATCATCATCATCATCATCATCATCATCATCATCATCATCATCATCATCAGTATCATCCCCCCTTTTCCGACCCATCCTCTCTTTTTCCTTTATAGCTTATGAGTAATTCCTCCCTGCCACACCCCCAGGCATCCGCGTTTCGCCTGGCGTTTCGCCTGAGACATCCGCGCCACTTGGGACTCTGAAGCTTGGGGTTCGCAGCAGATACAAGGAAGGGGGAGCCTTTTGAAATGAACTGTTAGCTTTAGCGCTACGCAAATTGGACCAACAAGTTCACAAAGACTTCAACGGTGGAGGGGGGGTCGAAATTGGAGTCTCGCCGCAGCGCGCACATTCATCCACGATGGCCATTTGCGTGCCACATGCTGGCCAACCGGTACCAAACGGCGCGACTCACAGAAAACGCAAAACATGTCGAGTCGGCCCAGGTGGGCCACTCGACGCCCGCGGGGAAGAAAGGACCCGCGGACCCCCAAAAAAAGCAGAGGAGCGGTGCGCGCCTTTTGCCGCGGACAGCTCGGAGGCGGCGCGCGCCGTCTTTGGCGCCAGCGCCAGGGGCCGCCTCTCCCGCGCCAAAGCCGGAGGCCGGCGGCGGCGGCGGGGTGGTCAGCCGGCGCTGCAGCCGCGGGCCCCTCCAGCCCCGATGCACTAATTAGGTGCCCAGCTGTGGCTGATAGACACCCAGCCCTCCTCCCTGGCGGCGGCAGATCCCAGGCGGCGGGGGCGGCGGCGGCAGGATCGGGCGCCGGGAGGCACTGGGTTGCGCAGCCGGCGCTGCAGCTGCGAGCCCCTCCGGCCCTGCTGCGCTAGATGCCCAACTCTGGCTGATAAGCGCCCGGCTCTCTTCCCACGGCGGCGGATCGCCCCCAGCGGCGGCGCCAGCGGCCTCGGCGGCTACCGCCAGGGGGCACGGATAGCCGACTCCCGCGGCGCGGCCACCGCGGCCGCTTTCTCGAAGCGGGCGCCCTCCTATAGCCTGTTGTCGCGGTTGCGCGGGCTGCCTTTGTCGCTGCGGGGGAGGTGGGGCTGGCGAGCTCTGGCTGACCAGGGGTGGCACGGGATCTTCGCGGCCTTCTCCCCCGTCCCCACCGCCCTCCCTGGCGGGCGCGAGCAGTGGCTGTCCTGCTCCCCCACCCATCGGGCCCGCCCCGAGGCTTGCTCCTGTCTTCCCCTGGCGCGGCTTCTCGGCACCCTGCGCCCTGGGCTGGTCCGCTCTCGCCAGGCGGTGGCCGACGCGCTGCGAGGTCGCATCTCCTGCAATGCCCCAGAAGCCACGCCCGTCGCACCCTCGTTCGCCTCCCAGCGTACCTATAGGAGGATGTGCTGCTGCAGCGCCCGTACCTCCTGATCAGCTCCACGTCAGGGTAGAAGTGGCAGAGGGCGGCAGCGCCTCCGATGCGCGGCGAGGGGGAACCCATGCGCTCGACGGGGGGGTCCCGGGCCCTCTTCCCTCGCCACCTTCTCGAGCACCTCCTGCAATTGCTCGCGCTTCGCTGGCGCCCCGGCTCGCCGGCGGCAGAGTGGGCGGCGCCTCTCGGTCACAAAACGCTCGGCGAAGCACTGCTGCATCCACGCCACCGCAAGAACCGGGCAGAGCCCCTCGCCCGCGCGGTAGTGGTTGCGCGCCTCCCCTGCCTGCAGCTGGTCCGCATTTGCATCGGAGCTCCTGAACCAAGCGATGGCCTCGTCGGCCTCTCGAAGCCCGACACAGGGCGGCCATCGCAGCGCGCTGCCACGCCACCTCCGGTCTGCACCTCGTCGCGGCCCCAGCAGTTCCTCCAGGCGTAGTCCCCGACGCGCATCAGGCAGAACCGAGCCGTGGCCACCGCGTGCCAGATCACCGCGTGGTCGGGCACCTCGGCTGGGCGGCACTTTGCCACGATCAGCTTCATCATGCGCGCCGTGGCGGGGAGCATCCGAGGGCGGGCGAGGTCGCGGCGCGCGAGCTCCCTCAGCGCGACCCAGACCCGCGGCTTGCCTGCCAAAGCGTCGCCCGCGCCGATTGCCACGCGCTGGTGTTTGATGCCAAAGATGCGCTGCTTCACTGTCCCGAGGGCCTTCTTCGTGGTCGCGCTCGGGCGCGCGAGGAAAAGCAGAAGCTCCTCGTCCTCGCGCCTTTCGGCCGCGGAGGCGGCGTCTCCCCTGAGGGCCTGTGGCCGATCCCTGATCCGACAGAACAGCACCCATTGCCTCCAGTCCAGCTCGTAGACCAGGCATGCGCTGCCAGCCACGGCCTGGATCTTGGTATCCTCGAGCTCCGCGAGGTAACGCGGTGCGCCGATTGGAACGCCCTGCGCGGCATGGTGGGCGCGCCTCCGGCAGGGCCCACGCGTGCATGGTGCGGTCGCCTCCTCTTGGGACGTCGTCAACGAGGCCGCAGGGGTCGCCCCACGTCCGCGCGGGCGCGGAGCGACCCCTGCCCCTCCTCGGCCTGCTCGTCGGGGCCGGCGGCCATCTCCTCTGGCGACGCCGGCGGCGCCGTCGACGCGCGCCCGAAGCCGTCGCTCAGCGCGGCTGCCTGGTCGGGCGACTGCGCGGCTAGCGTCGCGTCGATGTCCGTGATCTCCCCAGACCCCCTCGAGTCATGAAAAAATCACGACGGGGGGGTTTTCGCTATTTTCGGCCTCGGGGGGCCCTCACTGGGCCTCGGGACCGTCCAAAAACGACTCAGGACGAAGAACCGGTCCCGGGGGAAGGGTCCAGACTTCTGGGGGTCGCGTCATGAAAAAATCATGACGTCGGGGGTCTGGGTCTGAGTCGGGCGGGGCGGCCGCGCCCGAGGCTGCCCCCGGGGTGCGAGGGGGGTCGCCGCGCGGGCGGGGCAGGGCCCGGCTGGCCGACGGGGGGCGCCCGAGCGGCCCTGGCAGCTCCACGAACGGCGCTCTCCCTGGGCCTGCGTCGTGCGCCTCGGCGTCGGCGGAGTGGCTGCCGCCCGCGCTCCGCTCGCCCTCCGGGGCCAGGTGCCCGCGCTGGGCGAAGGGGGGCGCCTCGCGGCGCGGCGGAGGAGGAGGAGGAGGAGAAGGAGGAGGAGGAGGAGGAGGCGGAGGGGGCGGAGGAGGAGGCCCGGTGGCGGGGGCCGGGCCTCTCTCCTGATGCAGTCCCTGGGGGGGCCCCTCTTGGCGGGGGAGGGTGCCCCCTGCGCCCGGCCCGGCTCCTCGGCGGCCCCCTCCTGGCCTGCGGCGCCCTCCTCGCAGCGGGCAGGTCGTCGGGTGCGCCCGCGCCCTGCTCGGGGGGCCCCTGCGGCTCCTCGGCCGGGGGCTCGGGCAGCTCCCGCGCGGGCGCCGCGATCGGGGCGCCCGGGTGTCGGGCGGCGGCCGCCCGTTCCTGAGCCGTTCTGCGCTGCTTCCGCGTGGCTGCGAGGGTGCTCCGCTGGGCCCCGCCTCGGGCTCTCCACTGGGAGGCACGGCTGCAGCCGCAGGAGCAGCTGGGGGGCGAGCGTCGGGGGCGGGTGGCAAGGGGAAGGGGAGGGAACGCGACAACGACGAGCATCAAAAACGACGAGCGTTGACGACGACGAAGACGACGAAAACGAAGAGAGGGGAACGGTGTGACGCGAAACGACAAACGTTGACGACGACGAGGACGACGAAAACGCGGAAGGGGAAACGGTGTGACGCGCAGCCGCGCGCAGGCGGCAGCGGAGGCAGTGGCGACGGACGCAAACGTCGAAGACGAAAGCAATAAACAACGACGACGACGACGACGACGACGACGACGACGACGACGACGAGAAAGAGGCGGAGGCGGCGTGACGCGTAGCCGCGCGCAGGCGGCAGCGGAGGCACTGGCGACTGACGACACACGGCGAAGGCGTCAGCGACAACGACGGCGAATCCGGCGGCGACGACGACGACGACGACAGACCAAGCGAGGACGGGGAGGCGGCGCGGTGGGGAAGCCGCGCGCAGGCGGCAGCGAGGGCCCTGGCGACGGACGACAGCGACGACAAAGGCGAAAGCGATAACAATGGAGACGGCGACGGGAGAGGACCAGGCGGGATGGGCGGGGACGTGGCGAGGCGGGCAGAATACTTAAAAGGCACAGTAGAACGCCAAGACTGCCCAAGATATCCCCAGGACGGCCCCAAGAGGGTGCCAGACGGGGAACCCGAACGCATATTTCGAGCCCTCGGCCCCGAGAGGAGCCACGACGCCCAAAGAGGCCTCGAGGAAGCGTCTCAAGATGGCCGTTCTCATGTGTTCGGCGTCCCGACGCTCCAAGACGGCCCAAGAGGCCCCAATGATCGCCCAAAGACGGTCCAAGAGAGCCCCAAGAGGGCCCAACAGGGCCCTAAGACGGCCCAAGAGGCCTCCAAGACGGCCCAAGATATCCCCAGGACGGCCCCAAGAGGGGGCCAGACGGGGAACCCGAACGGACATTTCGAGCCCTCGGCCCCGAAAGGCTCCCAAGACGCCACAAGAGGCTTCGAAGAAGCGTCTCAAGAGGGCTCCAGGAGGCAAAAGCCATAGATGTCCCTTTCGTTTGTGACGGAGTTTGCCGTTCTCATCTGTTCGGCGTCCCGACGCTCCAAGACGGCCCAAGATATCGCCCCAAGACAGCCCAAGCGGCCCCCCAAGAGAGCCCCACGAGGGCCCCAAGAGGGCCCCAAGACGGCCCAAGAGGCCCCCAAGAGAGCCCCAAGAGGGCCCCAAGAGGGCCCCAAGACGGCCCAAGAGGCCCCCAAGAGAGCCCCAAGATGGCCCCAGGACGGCCCCAAGAAGGGGGCCTGACGGGGCACCCGAACAGGCATTTCGAGCCCTCGGCCCCGAGAGGCGCCCATGAGGCCTCAAGAAGCCCCCATCGGGCCCCCCAAGAGCCTCCAGGAGGCCCCCAAGAGGCCCCAGAAGAGGCTCCCAAGACGCCCAACAGGCCCGCAGGAAACCCCAAGAGGCCCCCAAGAAGCCCCCAAGAGGCTCCCCAGAGGCTCCCTCCGAAGAGACCCCAAGAAGCATCCACGAGGACTGTGATCCACAACCCAGGTACGTCTCGAAACTCGTCTAGAGCACTCTTGAACCATCTTGGCGCCCCCTGGAGCAGTCTAACAGCTCCCTTCGACGGGGTGGGAGCCACATCTCCAAAGATCTCCTCGAAGATCGTACTGCCCTCCCCCCGGGCACGACCACACCACCACACAGCCACAGCGATGCGAAATGGGACAGCGGAATGAGCGAAACGATTGAATAAAAGGGCACAGTAGGACGGGGACGAGCGGAATAGGAGAATCCGGGAGAGAGGAGGCAGAAAGAAAACGACAACGACGACACCGGCGACGGCGGCGGCGGTGGCGGCGACAACGACGAAGACGCCGACGATGACGCCGACGCCGACGCCGACGCCGACGACCACGACAACGACGACGACAAGAACGAGGAGGGGGAGGAGGCGCGACGCGTAGCCGCGCGCAGGCTGGCGGCACCGGCGACGGACGACAAAGGAGGAAGGCGACAGCGGAAACGACGACGAAGGCGGCGACGACGACGACGACGACGACGACGGCGGCGGCGGCGCGACGACGACGACGACGACGACGGCGGCGGCGGCGGCGGCGCGACGATGACGACGACACGACGACTAGAACGAGGAGGGGGGAGCGGCGTGACGCGTAGCCGTGCGCAGGCGGCAGCAAGGGCGCTGGCGACGGGCGGCGAACGACGAAGACGAGAGCGATGACGACGACGAAGACGGGATAGGCGGGGACGTGGCGCGGCGGCGCAGAACAAAGAGCACGACCAGGAGCAGGAGAATCAGGTAGAGAAGAGGCAGGAAGACGCCGACGACGACGATGACGACGACGACGACGACGACCAGAACGAGGGGGAAGCGGCGTGACGCGTAGCCGCGCGCAGGCGGCAGAGAGAGGGCTGGCGATGGACGACAACTGACGAAAACGAAAGCGATGACGACGACGACGACGACGACAAACAAAGACCGCGACGACCACGACGACGACGAAGACGGCGACGACGACGACGACGACGACGATGAGGGCAGAAGAAAAAGACAGGAGGGAGGGGGGGGAGGAAGAAGAAGATGAGGAATGAGTAGGCCGAGGCGGAGGCTGTAAGGGGGAGGTGGAAAGAGCGAGAAAGAGAGAGAGAGAGAGCACACACTGAAACAAACGAGAATCAAGAACATAAAACAGTGCCCAGTGCGACCTTCCAGATGCTGAGCGCGACGTAGAAAACGTAGAGGAGCACCAGGAGAAGCCCAGAGAGCATCTTTCCGACGTACGGGCCTTGCCGGTTTTTGCGCCGAACAGAAGTTCGAATAGGACGTCAACCAGAAGCGGGGTCGAGAGCGCATCATCGTCTCCATCCAATAACATCCTTCTCCCTCCTCCTTTCTCACGCCCCCCCCTCCCCTGCACGTGGTAGTACAAACGAGAAGACTCCTTATCTTCCTCCTCCACTTCCATATCCCTCGCCCTTCTCCTTCAATAAATTATGATCCTCCCCCAGCGTCCTTCATACACAATGTCCTCCTTATCCCCGTCATTATCTTGCTCATCATCATCATCATCATCATCATCATCATCATCATCATCAGCAGCAGCAGCATCATCATCGGCATCATCATCATCAGCATCATCATCATCAGCATCATCATCATCAGCACCAGCATCGTCAGCATCCTCACTATAGTCATCCTCATCCTCATCCTCATCCTCATCCTCCTCATCATCATCATCATCATCATCATCATGATCATCATCAGCATCATCATCATCAGCATCATCATCATAATCATCATCATCATCATCATCATCATCATCATCATCATCATCAGCATCACCATCACCATCACCATCATCATAGTCAGCAGCAGCATCACCACCACCACCGACAATCACCACTACCATCACCATCACCACCACCAGCATCACGATCCTCCTCCCCCCTCCTAACTCATTGATCCTCTGCCCTCATTGCTTCTCCCTCTCTTTCCCCTTCCCCTCCTCATCATCTTCCTTCCCCTCAAACCACGGCGACGACAGAGACAGAACGAAACTGGAGAGTACAACAGCGACGACGACGACGACGACGATCAGACCGACGACGGCGGTCAGACCGACAACCAGGAGACACCGACGCCGACGGCGACGGCGGCAGCGGTGACGTCCACGTTAGGAACATAACGATCGACATATAAATCAGCTGGCCCCCTTGTGGGGCCACCAGGCTGTAAGACGAGGCTGCTGCTCCCTGCACCAGTTGCAGTTTGGAGTCTCCAATGTTACAGTCCTGCTATGTGCTTCCTGCGGTAATTTGTTGAAGTCCACGCGAGGGGGGGAGCTCCAAACCGCCGCGTTACCACGCCCAACTCGCATGCTCTGAATTCCCAGGAGGGCGTGGGGCATGTGAAAATACATGAGATTCGCCCCCCAGAGGCTCCAATTCCCGAGGCCACAAACCATTGCAAAGTATGCAATTGTTGCGCCTCCGAGACAACAAACCGATGTAAATTACACCATGCTCACGCCCCCGAAGCCATAATCCCTTTTTTTTTCATCGCGTCCTCGAGGCCACAAGCCCTAGCAAATTACGCACCTGCTGCGTCCACGAGGCAACAAACCTTCGCAACATACACCGTACTCGCGCCCCCGAGGCCATGAACCCTCGCAATTTACAACGTATTCGAATTGCCGAGGCCAAAAATTCTCCAAGGCGCCCGAAGATGGTCCCAAGACGGCCCGAGAGGGCCCCAGAACAGCCCAAAAGCGCTGAAAGGGGCCTCCCGAGAGAGCCCCACGAGGCCAGAACCGTAGATTTCACGAACCTGTTTCAAGGATGTGGGCCTTCTCGCATTTTCAGCTTTCCGACGTTCCAAGATGGCTGAAAAAGCCCCCAAAACCGCCCCAAGGCAAGCCAAGACGCCTCCAAAAGGGCCCCAAGACGGCCCAAGAAGGCTCCAAGATGGCCCAAGAAGTTTGAAGGGGGCTGGGAAGCCCCACCAACAGCTTCGCTTCAGGCGAAGCCAAGCTCCAGCTCGGTTGTTTCGTAGTAACGATAGTCCCAATGCATGAGGGGATGTCATGTCAAGTAAAAGGGATGCCCTTTAGTCTCGATAGCGATTGTGTGCCTCGAGGTGAGGCACAGTCAAATCTAGGCGGCCGGCCGCGTTGAGCCAAGACGGCCGCGGGCGCACGCTCGCTTCTGCCCCCTTCCGTCCCCCAGCTCGTTTTAGTCGGGGGGGGGGAGACGAAGCGCGCGTCCGCCACCCATATAGCGAGAACAGTTCAGCAGCTAACCGATACGGAGACAGGAAAAGAGACGGACCCAGAGGAAATGGACCCGTCAGCGAGTTGCTTCGCGAATGTAGGGCATACGCATCAGGCGGCGCCTCAGAACTTGGATGTCTGGCCGGCCCGATATGGCGTATGTCTCTTCAGGCCATGTTTGAAGGTTTGTATACCTCCCATGACTTGTAGGAGCATTTCTCTGTCAATGCTCCCTTTTGTATGCCCATCCGCAATCATATCTATGCACGATTCCACGCTCCATCATCTGTCATATCCAACTTATGTGTCCTAAAAGGGTACACTCAGTCTGGTTCTTCAAGTCTTTGCTTGACAAGGACTTGAAGACAGACTCAGCATCGATGGCCAAGGTGGCCTTGATGCTCAGGCCACCCAACTCAAGTATGTCTTTCAACTGAGTGGGTGTGCGTGGCCCCGCATGGAGCTCGTGCAGAGTCACAATCGTGGGATAACAGTCCTCCAAATTATGAGCTGCTGCAAGTGTCTCTGCTGAGTAGCTTGAGCGGACTTGCAAGCGGTGAGACTTGCAGTACGCATCAATCATGTGAACGACAGGCTTGCCAGATAACGTTTTCACGCCGTAGCAGGCTTGCCCCGCGAATGCCATAGCCTTTGACGTCTTCATCGGCGTCTCCGCTCAGGCGTCGACAGCCTGAGTCGCAATGTAAGTCGGCCTCGCCCGTGGGGTTCATCGCTTGGTAGACAATCTTCTTCGGGCAGGCCTGTAGCTTTCTGGTGATCGCGCTCAATCGTCGCACTTGAATATTCGTCGGTTCTTGGACACATTGGAGAGATGCAACAAAAATCATCAATCAGATCTGGGTGATCAATGCGCATGCCAGCGCACCTCTGAGGCTGACGAGCATATCTGCCACCATCTTGGTCGCTTGAGCGTCAGCGCCAGCGCCGGTCAATTCAGGATGTTGTATATGACGGAGCTGTTGAATGCATTCATCTTGATCCAAAGTGACACTGCCGTCCTCATCCTTGGTGCACCGCACAGCACAGTTCGTATGTGTGTGCTTGTTGAGTTTACACTCACCAAAAGTATCATCAACGTATTTGACATACTTGTCAATCGTGTCATCGGTACCGGCCATGATAATGTCATCAACACGTTTGGCCGTGAGCAAATTACTGCTCGTCTCGAACTCCCCGTCGTAAGACGTAGGTCGGAGGCCAAATCCTCTGGTGGTTCTCCTGAGCTCAAGTGAGAAAGCCCGCGGGGCGTCCTTAGTGCCTGTGCCCGGTTTCAAGCACTGCAGACAGTGCTTTGACTCGTCGTAGTTCTCAAATCCCGGAAGTGCACGGAGCGCAGTTGCCGACCCAGGCGGCAAAGTAAAGCACACCACACGCTCCTTTTCACCAGTTGCCTCGGCGAGTTCTCGATAGGTCAATCCCTTTAGGAAGGCCATGTTGATGCCCAGGGAAGCAATGATCCACTGTTTCTTGCACGCTGCCGCGCTGGCAAGTAACCAAAAGGCGCCCCCAATAATCCGCGCGCCAGGGCCCGAAAGCGCAGTGGGCCGCGAAGCCTGCCCAGAAGGTGACCAGGGCCCCGAGAGCGCTGGTCGGGTACTGCGGCTGCATATCCGCTGATAGCTTGAGCCCCAGTAGCGTCGGGAAGGGCTGCTGTGGGGCGGCAACAAGATATAATAATAATAATAATAATAATAATAATAATAATAATAACCCCCCCCCCCCCCCCCCCCCCAAAAAAAAAAAAAAACAAAAAAAACGTCTTGAGCAAACTCGTGCGACGCACATTCATCTTATCAGCTCTCCGACGGCCCAAGACGGCCCAAGAGGCCCCCAACATCGTCCCAAGAGCGCCCAAGAGGCCTCCAAGATGGCCCCATGACAATGCAAGAGGACCCCAAGAGGGCCCCAAGAAGAGCCCAAGACGGCCCAAGATGGTTCAGAAGACGCCAAAGATGGCCACCAAGACGGACAAGATGGCCTCCAGGATGCCTCCAAGACGGCCAAGAAGGCCTCCAAGCCCAAGATGCACCCAAGACGGCCCCAGATGGCCTGAAGATGGCCTTAGACTGCCCAAAAGGTCCGCAAGAGGCCTCCAAGACGGCCCAAGAGCCCTCCAAGACGTCCTCCAGGAAGACCCGAAAAGGTCAAAATGGTCCCCAAGACGCCCAAGATGGCATCCGAGACGGACAAGATGGCCTCCAAGGTGCCTCCAAGACGGCCAAGATGGAAGATGGCCCCAAGATGCACCCAAAACGGCCCCCAATGGCCTGAAGATAGCCTTAGACTGCCCAGAAGGCCCGCCAGCGGCCTACAAGACGGCCCAAGAGCCCTCCAAGACGTCCTCCAGCAAACCCGAAAGCTCGGAAACCACCTGGTCCGATAGCTCGCCCGACTCCGTGTTCCCCGAAAGCTTTCGAAACCCACTCGGGGAACACGTGGCCCGATAACTTGGCCAAGCTCAAACCCAAGTTAGGCGCTTCCACAAAGGCAGGGGGCCGGCGGTGATGCGCCGCAGGCGTCTTCAATAACGCCAACGTCTGCTGACGATTCCTATCTGCCCCCACATGATCTTCCCAGATGCGCCAAGGCAGCGTCGAGACGCACCGACGCGACTCTTTTGGACGCCCGAAATGGGTACCGAAAGAATGGGCACAATGCCCAACAGCAAGTGTTGTCCCAAACCAACAGCGGCCGCTGTTGGGCGGGCGGCCTCCTGTCTCGAATGGACACAGGCCGCGGCGGCGTGGACAGCGAGCCCTGTTCAAAATGAACAGGATCCGCTGTTGGGCATTGCACCCATTCTTTCAGTACCCATTTCGTGCGTGCAGAACTCCGAAATATCCCATTAATACTAGAAAGGAGGCCGGCGGCAGGGGGCGAAGCCCTTACGGGCAAAAAAACCTGCGCAGATCCGCGCGGAGCTCCCGGATCGCCGCGGGACCCCCCTCCACGGCGCACGAAGGGGCGCCGGGGGAGTCCAGCGAAAATCCCAGGAAACCTACGCGGGGATTAGAAAGATGTATGCCATTGCGTATTATTATGATTATCCTTATCTTCTTCGTCGTATCATGCTTCTTCGATACGTCGACATCGAAGTCGACATCGACGTCGAAACCAGAGCATCGTTCCCCCGACCCCATCCCCACTGGAATGGCCTTGGCCCGACTGGCCGACTTACAGTAGGAGCTCGACCACAAGAACCTTCCACAAGAAACTCAACCCTGAGACCCCAGGACGTCCATGGATTTTTGGTGTGGGAACGTCACGCTGTCCATAGCAAAACCTTCAAACCCAGGGCACCCTGAGGGCAAGGCAAGCAGGGTGCTTCCTGGCAGGGGTTTCCACTGTACCCCCCTAGATTTCTCTTCGGGTTTCGTGGGGCATACGGTCGGGCACTTCTGCTCAGCGTGACGCGGCGGCGGCCCCGGCGACACGCTGCACTGCAAGCGGACAGCTCCGCTCCACGGGGCGGGAGGCTGGGAAAAAGTCAAGACGTTGACGATCGGGGACGGGGACGTGGATAGCGTGTCGCGCCGAAGCGTAGTGGGCCAGAGCCCGCTGTCCCCGCCTGGGTGGGATGAGCTGGTGGGGCTTAAGTCCGCAACCGTGCCGCGTGGCACGTTGAGGCGTGGAAGAATGCCAGGGTCTGCCTAGTAGAGTTTCTGTAGTCTAGCAAGGGGCCCCCTTCTCTAGTCGCAAACTGTTGCGTGCATTCCCCCTACTCGACGAGGCCACCTCCCTCGTGCCCGCTCGACGATGGTGAACCTCCAGCACGGCAGCTGATGCCTGAACCCCCACTCCACGCGTGCCCGCTCGATCATGGTGAAATTCCCGCATGGCAGCGAATGCCTGCTGAACCCCCACTCCACGCACGACCGCTCGTGGATGGTGCACTTCACGCAAGGCAGCTTCTGCCTGAACCCTCATTTCATGCGCGCCTGCTCGACGATTGTGCAATTCTCGCATGGCTGCTATATAACTCCCAGGCCCCTCATCCCACGCGCACCGGCTCGAGGGCCGTGGATTTCCCGCGCTTCCAGCCGCTGCTCCCAAGCGCTCCAGGGCCTCCCAAGCAACGATTCTTTTTCAAACAATGGTTGTGCGTCCCGAGCTTCCATCACAGTCCGTGCAGGCAAGCAAGGACACCAAGATGGCCCAAGATGCCTCGAAGACCGCCCAAGATAGCCCCAAGGTGGCCGATTATTGATCCAAGACGGCCGAAGATGCCTCCAAGAGGGTCTGAAATTGCCGCAGGCGAACCTCCACCAGGGCCCGAAGAATCCAACATCATTGATTTCCCTGGGGTTTTGAATGAGGTTCGCATTCTCGCCTTTTCGGGCCGCCGTCAGCTCAAGACGGCCCAAAAAGACTCCACGATGACCCAAGAGGCATCCAAGACGGCACCAACCGGCCAAAGAGGACCTCCCGAGGGACCTAAGACGGCCTTGGAAGGCCCTTCACAGGACGGCGCCAAGACGGCCCCACAACGGCCCCCAGACACCCACCGTACGGCCCAGAGGGCCTGAAGACGGCGCAAGAGAGCCCCAAGCCGGCGCAAGAGGGCCACAAAACGGCCCAAGAGGGCCCTAAGGAACCCCCAAGATTGCCTCACAGAAGGCCAAGACAACCCAACGATGGCCCAAAAGAGTCATCACCACCATCATGATTAGCAGCATCATCATCAGCATCAGCGTCAGCATCAGCATCAGCAGCATCAGCATCAGCATCAGCATCAGCATCATCAGTATCATCATCATGATCAAAATCATCATCAGCAGCACCATCCTCTTCATCCTCCTTCTCATAATCATCATCAGCAGCATAATCATCAACAAAAGTAGCATCCTCCTCCTCCTCATCATCCCAATCATCGTCCTCATCCGCATCCGCGTCCGCATCCTCCTCCTCCTCCTCCTCCTCCTCCTCCTCCTCCTCCTCCTCATCATCATCATCATCATCATCATCATCATCATCATCATCATCATCATCATCATCATCATAATCATACGTATAATCAATATCAGCAGCAACATAATCATCATAATCATCGTCATCGTCATCGTTATCGTTATTGTCGACGGCATCATCGTCGTCGCCGCCGCCGTCGTCAACGTCATCATCAGCAGTATCATCAACAGCTTCAACAGCATTAGCAGCGGCAACATTATCACGTCACCACCACCACAACCAGCATCAGCATCAGCATGAACATCAGCAGCAACAGCATCATCATCAACATCATCAAAATCATCATGCTCATCATCAGCATCCTCATCATACGCAGTAACAGCACTCTCATCATCGTCACCACAACCACCAACATCATCAGCATCAGCATCACCATCAGCAGCAGCAGCATCAGCATCATCAGCATCATCAGCATCAGCATCATCATCATCATCATCATCACCTCATCATTATCATCCTCATTATCATGCCCGTCATACTCATCACTCCCACCACCATCATCATCACTATCATCATCATCATCATCATCATCATCATCATCATCATCAGCAGCAGCAGCAGCAGCATCATCATCACCATCACCATCACCATCACCATCACTATCACCATACCATCACCATCACCATCAGTGGCCTCCCGCGTCCCCTCGAACAGTCGCCACGCAGAAAACTGGGCTGGCACGGTGGCGGGACTTGCCGCAGGCAGCTGGGTACCATTGCTTGTGCGGATGGGGATCGGTTAGACCGACGCCGTATACCCGAGTGAGGTCGATGCCTCCCAGCTCGCCGCCACACAGCCTCCGGCGCACGGCCAGCAGCGCGAGGGCCACGACGGCGGCGACAGTGAACACCACCACACCTGTGAGGGGGGGCACCACCAAAACGAATCCGAGCGCGCCGAGACAGTGAATGGGTGAAGATTGACACGACTGGAAAAAGCGAGCACGCACAACTCGGCGATAAACCAAACGGCAAAACGCAAAACGAAGTACCGAAGACGAAGCCAGAAGCCGGCGTCGCTAGAGACAAGGAGAGGGCAAGGTGGAGGGCAGGAAGACCGGGAGAAAAGGGTGGATCACACGAAACTCGAGTGGCAAGGAAAGCCTGCCTGACTCCCTTCGGGATCGAAGCCACGCAGGCTCTGCTACCACTGTGGAATGCACTGTAGTAACTGTGGGGAATACAGAGCGACACGATGTGCAAATAGAGGGGCCCGTGCTGAAAGAGAGAAAGAAAGAGAAAGAGAGCACGTTCTCTTTCCTTGTACGGGGGTTCGTGCGCGCCCGCTGCCGGCGCGCCGCACAGCTCAAAGCCCCTGCGATCCAAGACAGCCGCGGGGTGGGGAGATGAGAGGGAGGCGCAGGAGGCAGGAAGGCTGAAATACACATAACAACCTCACCGACTTCTTCGGCTGGGCCAAAAATTTGGGGCCCAATTCAAGGATATACAATGGTCGGGGAGACGTAAGACCCGGGTACGGGGGACTCGGAAATCCCCGACGAGGTCGTCAAAAAAATGACGAGGCCGAGCCTGCATTTTGACGAGGCCTCCCGCTGCAGACATCCCACGAAACTCCTCCTCGTCAAAATCCGAGTCGCGGTCGTCAAAAAAAAATGGCGAACCCGAGTCCCGGCAAACCCGGGTCTTACGCTCCCCCGAAATGGATTGGATCGCCCGCTCATCTTCGGCAGGGGTGCGCTCGAATAGATCCACGGGGATATTCCCCGATTCCCCCTCTTCTTAAGCGGCCTGACTCTTCAGGGGGGAGGTCTCGGGGATCGTGGTCGAGAAAGCGATCGCCTGTGATATTCGATTCTCTCCATGGCGAGCGTCAGCAGAAGAACTCGCAACTGCATGAACGTAAACGGTCGGGACTCCGCGCGGAATCTGCACGGCTTCTTGAATCACGCTGCACCCCCCCTCCTGGCGCCCCACCAGCGGAGTCCTGCGCCGATCCAAGAGATCCGCGCGGAGCTCCAAAGGCTTCTGTTCAAACAGCTACTCCCCTGGGAGCCAGACTGCCCCCCCCCCCCCCCCTTCTTGGGCGCCCGAGTTATCCGGGGTAACTCGGGTCCGGGGTAACTCGGGTTTGGGTTCCCGAAAAACGAACCCGAGTTACCCTGACCCGAGTTATCCCTGATGATTCGGGGCTCTGGACGCCCGAGTTATCCGGGGTAACTCGGGTCCGGGGTAACTCGGGTTTGGGTTCCCGAAAAACGAACCCGAGTTAACCCTGACCCGAGTTATCCCTGATGATTCGGGGCTCTGGACGCCCGAGTTATCCGGGGTAACTCGGGTCCGGGGTAACTCGGGTTCGGATTCCCGAAAAACGAACCCGAGTTATCCCTGACCCGAGTTACCCCTGATGATTCGGGGCTCTGACTGGGAGCCAGACTGCCCCCCCCCCTTCTGCGCGGGCAGACGGGGCGCTGGGCGAGGCGGCGAGGCGCGGCGGGGCGGCGCGCCGAACGCGAGGTCCCCGGCTGGCACCTCGCGAGGAGCGCCGGCTCTGCGCTCCCGCGGCAAGCCCCCCACTCGGCAGGGCTCATCGAGGAGCGCGCCGTGGCCTCTTCCACCGCCTCTTCGGCACCTCCTCCAAGGCAACCTCGTCCTCCTCCTCCTCCTCCTCCTCCTCCTCCTCCTGCTCCTGCTCCTGCTCCTCCTCCTCCTCCTCATCCTCCTCACCCTCCTCCTCCCCGTCCTCCTACTCCTCCTCCCCCTCCTTCTCCGTACCACTCTCCATCATCCTCGTCCTCCCACTTACCTTCGTCATTACAGTCCACCTTCTCTCCTCTTGCTGCGTACCCCCCTCCGCCTTCGACTTCACGTCCTCATCCGTTTCCGCATCCTGCTACTGCTGTTCATCCTCCTCCTCCTCCTCCTCCTCCTCTTCCTACTCCTCGTCCTCATCCTCCTCCTCCGACGCCTCCTCCTCCTGCACCTCCCCCTCCTGGTTACCACATCCTCCTCATCCTTCTCCTACTCCTCCTGCTCCCTCACGGAGGGAGGAGGGAGGGAAAAGCGAGGGAGGATGGAGGAGCTCGAGGAACACGGAGGGGGAACAACGGAGAACGTGGGGGAGCGACCGCTGCGTGGAGGAGGGGGAAGAGAGAAAGGGCCAGAAGGAGCAGGATGATGCGGAGGGGGAGTCGTGGGAGGGGGGAAGAAGACAGAAGAAAGAGGTGAGGTGGAGGTGGAGGTGAAAGACGACGACGATGGCGACGACGACGACGACTGACGACGGCGACGACGACGACGACGACCAAGAAGAAGACGACCACCACCAGCACCAAGACGATGACGACGATGACGACCACGACGACGACGACGATCGACGACAACGACAACGACGACGGCGACGACGACGACGGCGACGACGACGGCGGCGGCGGCGATGACGACGACGATGACGAGCAGCGGCAGCCGGCCCGGAGCAGCACCTCGAACTCCTGACCCTTCGCCCGCCAGTACAGCGCTGCAATGCTCCAGGGCAGGCCGATGCCTTGGGGGCAGGAGGAAGGGATGAGGGGCAGAACAACGACCTGGAATCGGTGATACAACGACCTGGAATCGGCGATACAACGACATGGCATCGGCGATACAACGACCGATGCCTCGAGGGGGGGAACAACGACCTGGAATCGGCGATACATCGCCGGTGGATCGGCGATGTGCCCCCGATGGCGACACCGCGCGTTCCTTGGCTGGGATGGGTTATGAGGCCCCTATCGACAATGAGAAGGCGTTTGGGGGTCCCTGGGCCTATCCCCCCCTAAAGATGGCCTCGAAGGAAGGGAGGGGAGAACCAGCGTTATAGGTTATAAGAAAAATAGGTGTCAGCGGCAACGTGAAAGCACGAAACGCTACGCAGCAACAGCCGCGCCGAAAAAGAGCTACTTGCGCACCTTCGCACATGCAGAAAGGTCAAGAGCAGCTGCGGAAGAAAGGCGAAGCGGGGTCATCATCATCATCATCATCATCATCATCATCATCATCATCATCATCATCATCATCATCATCATCATCATCATTATCAGCTTCCTGTTATTATTCATCATCAGTGCCATTACGATCATCATCATCATCATCATCATCATCATCATCATCATCATCATCATCATCATCATCACCACCACCATCATCATCAGCAGCATCATGAACATCTTCACGATCAGCATCATCCTCATCATTAACATCATAATCACCATCACCATCACCACCACCCACCACCACAACCACCACCATCGCCATCACCATCATCATCACCAACAAAATCATCAACATGATAACCACCACGACCGCCGTGACCATCACCAACACCGACACAAACACCGTCACCATTATCACAACCACCACAGTGAGCATCATCATCATCATCATCAGCAGCATCATCGTCATCTTCATCATCATCTGCGTCGTCATCATCGTCATCATCAGCATCATCATCAACAACATCAACATCAGCATCAGCATCAGCAGCAGCATCATCAGCATCAGCCGACTTGTCCTTCTCCTCCTCCTCCTCCTTGGCCCCTCCTCGTCCTCGTCCCCCACCCATCTCCTCTATCTGCTACTGCGATTACAGCCCCTCCCCTTCCCCTCCTCCTCCTCCGCCTCCCCCTCCCAGGACCGCACCTAAGAAGACGTTCACGGAGTTGCTGCCCGTGACGTTGACGACGGACGCGTCGGCAGTCTCCTCCTGCGGGGGCCCGCAGCGGTCCAGGAGCTGGGAGAACCAAAAGGTACCGATACCGCAACTCCCAGGACCTCTCCTGGGGTGCGTTCTGACAAGGGTCCCGCCAGCCCTGTGGGCGGTGGTGGTTTGAAGGATGTTGTCTTCTCTCTGCCGAGGCTCCCTCCTGCAGGGGCCTGTCATTGTCTCCTAATAACATTCACCCCCTCCCCCAGGCGACCCGCGGCCAACCAGGAACCATGCTCACCCTCCCCACCATCCCTAAACAAACAATACAAAACAAACTCTGCCTCCACATTTGGAGCATGCGCGGCCAACCCGATGTGCCCGCCCCCCCCCCATCCCTGTCAAAACCAATACAAAGTACACTTTGGGGCAAAGTCTTGAGTCATGTTCGTGAGGCCAGCGAGCACTTTACATTGTTTTTGACAGGGATGGCGGGGGTGTCAGCATATTGCCTGCGATGCGCATAGCTATCATCCCTAACCAAAAAAACAATACAAAATGCACCTCACGGCTAAATCTGAATCATGCGCGGCCACCCCGCGATCATTATCAAATGGTTGTTGGCAGGGACGGCGGGGGTGGTGGCGTATGGCCTGCTGTGCGCAGGCCCACAGTACACAATGATGAGCATTTTGTGACAAGGATGGTGGGGGCCGACATGTTTTCCGATGTGTGCTGTCACGTGCGCAGGCGCACCTGACACCCTCTGCACGTGCCCCGAACGAGGCGCGGCTTGAGTATGCGGTATACCTGGCGCACGCGGAGCACGTGGCGCATCAAGCGCACCAGCCGTGCCTGGCACGCTCGGGCCCCAGGGGTGCCTGGCGCGCGTGGCGCGCCTGGCATGCGTGGCACACCTCGCCCCAGCGGCCGGTGAACATGGGGTCGGTTTTGGTCCCCAGTAGCTGCCCATCCACAGACGGCCGCTAAACATGCTCAGGCTCGGGTGTTACTCGTGTGTTGGAAGGGCGGGTGGGAGTGAGCTAGACGGCTTGATATTCAGGAGATGCCTTGACCCATCCCCCATACCCGCTCCTCCGGGCCTGGAAGTCCCGCGAGTGGTTAGAGCGTCCAAAAGGGCCCGAGATGACGCTATCTTGAGCCTCCCTCAGGGGGGGAGACCTGAATTTCGTACCCTCCATCAGAGTCATGGGGGCCGAGATGGCCCCAAGAGGGCTCCAAGAAGGCCCCCAGAGAGCCCCAAGAGGGCCTCAAGAGTGCCCCAGGAGGCTCCGCGAGGAGCCCAAGATAGCCCCAGGAAAGCTCCAGGATACCTCCGAGGAGACGCCTCCAGGGCGATTGTTGCACTGCACTCTCCTAAACTTCCCTGATCAAGGCAGCTCGCCTGGCGGTCTTGTTCTGGGTGGGCGGGTGGGGACACGCGAGGCGCCAAGAACTGCGAGGCGACGCCGGGGGCGGCGACGAGGGCCTCCCAGGAGGCGCCAAAAGGAAAAAACGGGCGAAGGGTAGAGGAGGAAGAGGAGTTGGAGGAGGAGGGGGAGGAGAAGGAGGAGGGGGAGGAGAAGGAGGAGGAGGGGAAGGAGGAGGAGGAGGAGGAGGAGGAGGAGGAGGAGGAGGATCTTTAATAAGCGTCGGGGGGGGGGGCGTCACCCCCGCCGACAGCTCCACATCGACCCCCGTCGCGGGCAGCCACCGCGCGCCAGAGGCGCTCCGACCCCCGTCGCGGCGCCACGACCAGGCGAGGTTGACCTCCGTCGGGGGGGGTCCCCCCTCACGCGAACTGAGAAACCCTGAGTATGGTGCTTCCCTTGGAGTCCGAAGAAGCTATGCTGCCATCGGTGGTTCAGAGATGGGCCCCCGAGGGATGGCGCCCGGAGGGCGAGGTGCCGGAGACGGTGCAGATCCACGCCTGGACCCCTTCCTATCCTCGGGACGCCAACCCTCGGGACCCCGCATCTTTGAGCCACCGATGCCTGCTCCTCGAGCAGCCCAGGAGTGCCTCTACCCCCCCCCCTCCCGAGGAGCCAGGAGGGCCGGGGAGGGCGGCGGGCGCGCCGCGGGTTGCGCGGGGCGCGGGCGGCACGCGGGGGGCGCGGAGGCCCCGCGGGGGGGGGGGCTCGGGCAGCACGGGGGCCGCGAGGCACGGGGGCGAGAAGGCGCGGGCTCTCCCCTGGCGGCGGGCACGCGGGGGGGGGGCGCCTCGGGGGCCTGGCCACGAGAAGCCTGCCACGAGAGGCCCAACCCTGAGACCCCAGGGCGTCCCTCGACTTCTCTGGCGTGGGGAGCGCCACGCCCCCCAATGGCAAAACCACCGCCACCCAAGAGACCCAGGGCACCCCGGAGGCAAGCAGGGTGCTTCTTGGCACGGACCCCCACTGTAGGGGGGGGGCGGAAGGCTTCTTAGGAGGCCGCTTCTTGGGAGACAGCCTCCTTCTGAGAAGCCTTACCTCCTCTGGAGGCCCCCCTGATAGGGTCCGCATAGATGGGGTCGAAGGATCGCGCCGCATCGCCGATGAATCGGCGATGTATCGACGATGCATCGGCGATGCTTCGGCGACGTCGGCGGTGCATCCGCAACGCCTGCGAGGAGAAAATCAGGCTCCACATCGAGCCGCATCGACGATGTATCGGCGATGCGGCTCGATCCTCCAACCCCATTTGCTCCGACCACATCTAGGAGGCCTCACCCCCTCCCCCTACGCTGAGACTCCAGGACGCCCATTGAGTTTTGGTGTAGGAGCGTCACGCTCCATAGCAAAACCATCAAAATCCAAGAAACCCGAGGCACGCAGGGAGTTTCTTGGCATGCGTTTCCACTGCACCCCCCCTGTGCGCGTTGCACGGTTCCCCCTGGGGCCGTGGGCGACCCGAGGAGGAGGAGGAGGAGGAGGAGGAGGAGGAGGAGGAGGAGGAGGAGGAGGAGGAGGAGGAGGAGGGAGGAGGAGGAGGAGGAGGAGGAGGGAGGAGGAGGAGGAGGAGGAGGAGAAGGACGGGTCGCCTAAGCACTTCGGAGAAACCCTCCAAAGCAGGGTGCTTCTTGGCACGCGTTTCCGCTGCAACCCCCTTGTGCGCGTGGCCGACGGACGCCACGTGGCTGAACCTCTGGACATCCAGGGCCCCCACGGGCACACCGCTCGGGCCCACCCCGGCCGCCTGCCTTCGAGAAACGCGCCCGGCCGTGGCCGCGGCACACCCACCGGCGCGAGGCCGAAACAACTCGAGTAGGGTCGGGGAGACGTAAGACTCGTGTACGGGGGACTCGGGTTGGCTTGACGGGGCCATCATGAAAAGGACGAGGCCCGACCTGAAATTTGACGCGAGCACCCGCTATGAACGTCCTACGAAAACCGGACCGTCAAAATCCAGGACGCGCTCGTCAAAAAACGTCGGCTGACCCGAGTTCTGGCTTACTCGAGTCAGACGTTTCCCCAATGAGGGGATCGACTAGAGAACTGATCTACCCCAGAAACATAATCGTCTCGACGTTTTCACCTCAGATCCGATGGGAAAATGCACTCTGGGGTACTCCAGATTTCGTAATAAAGGGAGGGGGGTCTCATTTCGGGGGGGGGGGTCTCTTCCAGGCTATCTTGGAGGGCCTGGGGGGTCTGGGGATGATGTTTTGGAGGGTTCTCCCACGGGGGAGGTCTGAAATGGCTCGTCTTGGAGGGTCCAGACCCCCTCCCAATTTATTACGAAATCTGGGGTAAGTCAATTCTGTGGTCGATTCTGCACTCGGCCTCTGCGCGCGGCCGAAGCCACCGGGCGCGGGGGGGCCAGCGCCCCAGCTCACGCAGCAGGCCTCCCCGACGCCTCCCGGCGCCGGGAAGGCACCAGTGTGCTTGCCGTCGCTCGGACGTCCGCCCTCCCCGTGCACTGTTCGATTTCGCGCGTACGTCTGTCGCAGAATGACCAGGAATGCGCCTCGGCGGTCATTGCCGAGAAGAACGCACACGTCCGAGCGATGCCAAGCGTGCCGAGGCAGGACTGCCCGGCGGCGAGACCGAGGACCGGCTGCGCGCAACAGATCTCGAAACATCCCCTTCTCGCAAGCTCCTCTCGGTCGGCCCCTCCGACCCGAGAGGCACGGAGGCGTTCGGTGGCAACTCGCGGGAGTCTCCCATGCCATCTCGCTGGCCCTCGCGAATCGACGCTGACCGACGCAAGCCGACGCTAGTCGACGCACATCGACGCAAAATCGATACTAAATCGGCGCTTTCGCATCGACTACCAAACGCTGGCGCACGCTAATGCACTCTCAATCTGGAGTGGCGAGGACATGAATGGCTCCCCTGATTTGCTACCGTAGAGGGCAGAAAATCCGTCCCCACAATGATCACCCCGACGTGCGAAGCCGTTTAGCGAACGCACCCACAGAAGGAATCGAACAGGGCAAGGCTGCTTAGAAAACGCCCAGGGCCGTTCAGTAAACGCCAATTGTCGGGTCCGGGTAGTTGTTCCTCCATAAGCCTGTTTTTGTTTGGGACTCTGGCAAGTTTACTTGCATGGACGGGGGGGGGAGGGGGGCTGAGCCTGAAGCAAGCCCGGGGGGGGGGGGCGGAAATCACGCAAGTCGAAAGGCACTTGCACGCTAGTATTCGCTGGAAGAGGGGCGAGGGGGGGGGGGGGGGGGGCGAACGCCATGCAAGTAAACTTGCCTGAGTCCAAAGAAAAACAGGCTATACCGGGGAGGCCGGAGGACGGGAGACGCGGAGGCGTGGGGGCCCTGGGGGGGAAGAAGAGCAGGACGGAGGCAGGACAGGGACGAAGCAGGTCGAGATGTGCAGCGGAGGCCCGACCACAAGAAGCCCAACCCTGTGACACCAGGACGTCCCTCGACTGCTGGTGTGGGAGCATCACGCCGTCCACAGCAAAACGAAGGCAGCCCAAGAAAGCCAGGGTCACCCTGGATCGGGAGCGGCCAAGAGGGGGGTGTCCAAGGGGGGGGGGGTGCAAATCATGACGGGCGGCATGTGCGCGGCCCAGCGGGGGGGCCTGGGACGTGATGAAATAAGAAGAGGCGCCATGAAATCTGGGGAAAAATCATGGCCCGCGCCATGAAATCCGCCCCCCCCCTAGCCATCACCCCCCTCTCTTCCGCTCCCGTCTGGAGGCGAGCAGGGTGCTTCTCGGCATGGGCCCCCACTTTTAGGCCGGGAAATCCATGCGAACCAGCAGGTCGGGGAGGGCGCATCGGGCGCCCGAGGCCGCCGCGGAGCGCCATGGGAACGCCGTGGGAGCGAGGGATCTTCACCCCAGGCCCCAGACCTGCCCGAGAGAGGTCCAGAGGAGGAGGAGGAGGAGGAGGAGGAGGAGGAGGAGGAGGCAGGGTCAGCCAGCCTCGAAGCGGAAGTCGGCTCGGATCGGAGTGTGCGCCGGATCGGGCTGCATCGGCATGTACTGGAAACCGACTCGGATGGGCTGCGCCGGGATGCGTGGCGGCGGCACGCAGATCTCGGGGCCGCCGCGCACCGCCGGAGAGGCCAACATCGAATCGGGCCGAGCCGGGCGAGCCCGAAATCGATCGGATCGAAGTTTCACGGGCGAAGAACGGTATACATGGCACCGTGAGGGTATAAACTTTCCAGCCGCCCAGGGGTAGGTGTCCCCGACGGCGAAAAAGTTTATGTTATACCGTTCTTCGCTCGCTGAGAAGTGGGCTCTGTGGGGAAGCACATGGACATACTAATACTATATGTCCTCCTTGGAGGCGCGCGTCCGACCCGAGCATATAGTATACCCATCTTGTAGTATATCGTTTCTCGAGCGGTGTGGCCAGAAAGCGCCCGCCACGACGCATATACTACAAGATTTCTCGGTGCGCGCGTCGCCCCTGGGGGGGCGACGAACACATAGTATAAGTATGTTGGGGGGATGCCGATCTGTGGGGCACGGGGGGGGCAGGGCGGCAGAAGCACGGGCAGGGCCGGGGCCGCCCCAGCGCGGTGTCCCCCTGGCGTGCTCCTCTGCACCTCGGCACCGCACTCCGCTGCGAGCCGCGGCGCCCCCGTGAGGTGCCCGGAGACCCACGCGAGGGCCCGCCTGCCTTCGGCGTGCTGCTTCTGCGGTTGCTCTCGTGCCCCGGCGGTGAGCCGCGGCCCCGCCCCGCGGGCAACGGGCTTCCGTCCTTGGGGCCGTCTCCGAGAGGCCGAGGGGCCCCAGCCCCCCCCCCCCAGGGCAGGAGAGCCCAGAATCGAATCGGTAAGTCGGATCGGCAGTCGAACTGAATCGGATCGGCGGAAATCGGCAGCCGAGTCGGGAAAAGCCGCATCGGCGGACATCGGCGGGCTAGTATGCCTCCAGTAAGAAATCGGAACCCAAATCGGAGTCCAAATTCGGATCGAATCGGAATCGGAATCCGTCGAAGTCGAAAATCGAATCGCATCGGAGGCATCGAGACGATGCCCTGCCAGGGCGCCGTCGTGGCCTCCGCGCGCGGCACCCGGAGGTCCGAGGAGGGGGGGGTGGGGCGGCAGGAGGCGGGCACAACAAGATGGAGGCGGCTGCTAGGGCTCCCAACTTCGCGCTTCGCGCTGCGCGAAGCGCGAAGCGCGAATAACTTCGCGCCCTCGCGCCGCCCCCCCAGAGGGAGAAGAGGAGGACGAGGAGGAATCGGAGCCGAACCGCGAAGCGCGAAGCGCGAATAACTTCGCGCCCTCGAGGGCGCCCTTGAAGATGGAGGCGGCTGGCTGGTGGCGAAGCTGACGAGGAGGGAAGCCAGGACGAGAAGGACGACGACGGCGGCGGCGGCGACGACGACCACTGAGACGGCGAGAACGAGGACCACGCCGGCGGCGGCGGCGGCGACCAAGGGGACGAGGCAGAGAAGGACGGCGACGCGGGCCTTCACCGCGGCCGTGCGCGAGGCAAACAGGTCTGGCATGGAGGTGCCAAGGGCGACCACGGTGATGGCGGTCACGTAGTCCTGCGGGCCGCCTCCGAGACGGAGGGGGGGGGAGGAGGCGAAGGAGGTGGAAGTGGAGGAAGGAGGAGGACTCCAAGCCCACTTCCAGAAGTCGTTGTCCCAACAACTCAACGGCGTGACCTGGGGAGTCCTGGTCCAACACCTGGGTCCTGAACACCTCGCGATCCCGAATGCAATTCTCCACGCCGGATGCAAGAGTTCTAAACGATGTTCACCTGTCTTCATTGCCTGCATCAGAAAAACGATTACACTTGAGGTGCTAAGGCTCCTGTCATGGACATTATGACGAGCTCTTAGGATGAAGAATCTCAAGGCAGACTGACACGCGATCTCAGGGGTGGGCGTCATCGCTGTCCCTGCAACTGTGCGCCCAGACGACGAAGAGTGAGGCATTTCAGGAGGCGCTGGCCCTCGCCCTAAGGAATGAAGGACAAAAGGCAGACGCGTGTGGACCCAAAAGTGCTCACTGCCACCAGATGTTGTTGCTCGGGAGCGCGAGACACGCTCTCGCCTGCTCCATTCCTCCGACGTTCACGTGCACCTGTGGGCCCCACCGTGCTACTCTCAAACAGTCGGACCTAGGGCATACAAACGTTCTTCAAGAACATCAGACCCTCCACCAGCCAAAACACACAGAAGAGCAAAGGGTGCCCTCCCCAGGATGCACAAGAACCCCCAACAGGCCCGAAGAACATGAGGTCACCCTCCCCGAATCGACCTCGATCTTGTACCTCGGTCCGACCGCACTCAGCCCGCACTCCCCGCATCTTGCGATAACCCAGCCCGCTGCTGTGATCACGAAGAGGGAAGGCAACGCTCCCCCCCCAAAGAGAGGACGGCTCCACGGCCCGGCCCGGCAGGCGCGAGACGCGATGATCGGCGCGCCCGCGCGGGCGCCCTGGAGGGAGGGGTGGTGAGGGAGGGGAGCGCAGGGACCTGGGATCGGGGAGGACGGGGGACGAGGGACGAGGGAGAGGAGGGGGGAAACGGAGGGAGAAGGGGGGAGGCGAAGGGAGGGAGGGAGTGGAGGGGGGCAGGGGGGTGATAGAGAAGGGGGGGAATGGGAACCGCACTGGGGGGGGACTGGACGGCAAGGAAGGGCGAAGGGAAGCAGGAGGAGGAGGAGGAGGCGCCATGGCCTCCTGCCGCCTGCCTCATGCCGTCCCAACGCAAGACAGGGCGGGGCGGATCTCCGATATGTCGGTCACGCAGCCAAGCAGCTCGGCAAAGTCTATGATGAAGGCGGTGAGGCCGCCTGGCCGCAGAGAGGAGGCAGGTGGGGGAGAGCAACTGGTATCATCCGCGGCGATAACGGGCGTTTTACGTCATGCAGGGGAGGGGGAGGAAGGGGGGGGGCGTAGCGCGCGGTATGGCCCAGAGGGTGAAAACGCTCAAGGAGAAAGGGGGACGGGTAGGAGGGTGGGACAGACGATGGCGAGGAGAGAGGGGGGGAGCAAGAGCGGGAGGATGAGGCACAACGGAAACACTGCGCGGCAGGACCACGGGCCAAGGGATGCGCGGTAATGCACGGACGTTGGACGCCCGTGCTGAAGCATTCTGAGCGAACGTGGCCACCGATAGTTAGTTAGTGGCTGATGATGGGCCGATGATCCAACCACGAAAAGGTGCCCTTGGAAAACTGCTGCCGGAGCAAGCGAGGATAGGAACAGCAACAAGAGGAGGCGGGAGCCCGGACGGGCACAAGACGAAGCCAGGACGAGGATAAATTCGGACCAGGACGAATCGAGGATCCCTGAGATCCGGCAGCTCTGGAGGATGTCCTGGGCGCCGAGACCTTCCCAAAGCCCTCCGGGAGACGCCCTGAGAGCGTCCTGGCACGCTCTGCAGACGGACTTCTCCTCGTCCCGGCCCCGCCCGAAGGCAACACGAGCCGAACGGGCGACGGGGGAACATGACGAGGGCATCCAGCCGGATGAGCGGCCCGAAGCGGGAGGAGCGGGGGCGGGCGGCCCACCTGCAGGAGGGGAGGGGGAGCAGCAACGCGGGGGGGGACAACGAGAGAGCGTGCGAAGGGGGGGGGGCATCGGGCGGCCCGCCCAGTGGGATGCCCAGCTCCCCAGAAGCAAAACGGGTGCCAGCTGCCCATCGCCCCTTTTTTGGCCTGCATCACCCCATGATCCGCCTTCTCTGGCCGATCCACTCTCACACAGTCGGCCTCCGCAGTCGGGGCGAGTAGAAGGATGCAACGAGGCGATAAGGAAGCGATGCGCCTCCACACTCGTTCCCTCCTAGCCCCATCCACCTCACTGTTCCCCCATCCGTCTTCCCTCCCTCCCCCCTGTTCCTTCCCCCCCTCCTCCCTCCACCCCCATTCCCTTCCTGCCTCCCCCGCCTCCTCCACCCCCTCCCTCGCATACTATCACATTCAGCCAGAAGAGCAAACGCAAGGACGCTGGGCGCACGACGGTGTCGCCAACGCGGGCACCCCATCCAAGTGCCCCAATCCCACAGAAGAGATAGGAGAGCGACAGGGAAAAGACTATGAAAACGGATGTACGTTAAGCGATGCTGTGTGCGCGGACTAGCGCGGCGTGAACATGTGTCTAAGACAGGCACGGACAAATATCCCTTCCGTGCTCCCGAGAAAAACGGCCGCGATAAGAGGGAGAAGAATGGGCAGGGCAAAGGAGGCAGACACTATCAGTAGACTACCGTTCGAATATGGTGCTCAAGCGAGTCTGCCTGTGCTCTGTCGGATACGGCACGCAAGCCGTGCCGCAACCAATGAAGCCTCATAAACAGTCAACCCATATGTCCGCAGAACCGGGGAGTTGCAGGACTTCGCGTCTCCCCAAGGAACCATGGCCCCAAATGTGCCAAACCCAAGAACCGCTGCTACGGAACGCGAGGGATGGGCGACAAAGCATGCCGAAGCAGGCTGACGCATCCCGCGATGGGAGGCAAGGCTCAGCATGGGTTTTCTACTGACAAGGTCCACCACGCCAAATCCCAAGAGAAACGAAGAGATCGGATATGTGGAGGAGCACAGTGAAGTGATTAACGAGCTGCACGCCAAAAAACCGCCGCTCCACGAACACAGTTCATGGTAACACCCGCTCAATTGCTTGACCCACTAAGTCGCATTTGCAAACATCGCTCGCCTCATGCGGGCGATCTCCGATGAGCCCTTATTCGTCGCATTCGCATACATCGTTCACGACACGCGGCTGTCTCTGCCTCTCCCCATGTCGCAATCGCGAACACAATTCGCGGTATACGACCGCCGACGTTACGTTCTGCAGCCGAAATGCATGCATGAGATTTCCGGCTGTTCATCCCGTCTGCGAAACGTTCTCCTCATCCGCCCTGAGGTCGCTGTGGCGGGAGCTGGGCACGGTATTCTTGATCCTCGGCCCTCGTCGCTCGGTCTGACCGTCGCCAAGTCGCACTTGAGCTCCCAACGCATCGCGTCCAAGACCAGCTCCTGACCGATGCCCCCTCCGTCATGGGGTCGGTCCTCATATCGCGAGTGTCGCACCAGATCACGTCAGCGATCTGCTCGGCGCAAAGCTGCACAGAGAGCCACCGCGGACGGCCTGCCACGCTGCGCTCCGAAGGTGGATGCACGAGATCCACGGCGATGGCCGCGAAGACGAGAATCCCGTCCGCCACCGGGGCCACGGGCGTGGCGTAGCCTCCCTCCCTCCTCAATTTTCCGATCTCCTCGGACGCGACCGGGTCCCGGATCACCTCGCGGAGCGCGAGGAGGTAGGCCTGCAACCCATCAACTGCGCCGCCTGCTGCGAGCACCTCGGAGCCGAGCGACGACCAACACCCCAACTTGTGTGGACGGCTCGCGGCGACGAATAAGTGGCAGCCGGTGCTTCGCCTTGCTCCTACATTTCGGAATGCGCCACGCTCTGCAAGAATGCCTTCTCGCCGCCTCCGGCGACAGCATGCGCTGCGAGGCGCGCTTGGCTGTCCGCGCGGACGTCTCCAGGGCGCCTGCGCCCGTGTCGAAGAAACCTCTGAGCGCCACGCGGCACCCGATGATCCGCGCGGTTTTGCCGTCGGGGCCCTTTTGGCGCCTCTTGGAGGCGCGCCTAGAATCCGCGACGTTTCGGGCCCCCCTGAGTAGCCGCTGTTCAAAACGCGTGCACTTGGCAGAGATGGTGAGCTCCTCGAGGATGGCTGCGGACACCTCCCTGGCCAGCCAGGGCACCTCTTCCTTGGTCGAGATCGGCTTCGAGCTTGATGCTCGCGGTCTCGACGGCGGCGCGCGCGTAAAGCGCGGCTGCGCGGGAATCGCGGGCAACGCAATTGCCAGACGTCACCTCTTCGACGCTCAAAAATGATCCGCGCGCCCCCGGGTTGAAGCGCAACTCCACGTCTGCCTCGTTCGTCACTCTCCTCTAGATTGGCGTAGTCGCCCAGGGCGGCGCCGCGCAGGTAGTTGTGGCTCTGCGCGTAGATGCCTTGACGCTGGGGCTGCGTCTCGGGGCGCCGATGCCAGTCGCGCGGCCGGCGGCCAAGACCGGCCGCGGCGTGCTCGACAGCAGCCTAGATCAGATGTCGGCTGTCGTCACTCTCCAGCGCCTCCAGCTCCTGGCTCAGGTCTTCTGCACCTTCCAGGTCATGCCACGCTGCCAACATCACCTGCTGGATGTGGCTGGAGAAGTCGCTGCCAGTTTCCTCAGGAGTGGCCGACATTGCTGATGGAGATCCTCTCTCAGCTCTGCTGCAAGCGTCTTCGGAGGCGTCAAGCACACAATCATCGAACGCCCCATCTGAAACCTGTCCAGCGTCTGCAGCCATGCGCGTCTCTTCACCTAAAAAGGTGAACTACATGATGGAGACGTCATTCCACTGCTCGCCGATGACTGCGCGTGGGAGTCGAAATGGAAGCCGCCCGTGCACACCTGCAAACATGTAACCTAGAATCTGAAGAACTCACCAGATGACTCGGCTGCGGATGCAGCCCTGCGAATCTCCTACATATTTCTGGCCGCGTAGAAGACGCATGCCACGACAGCTGGAAAAATCTGCGGAACGCATAGCGTAGATCGTCGAGGACGTCTGGGCGCGGCCGCGTCTGCGGGATCATCTGCGCGCCCCGTGCATCCCCTCCGTGGCCGAAGGTCCTGGCGTTGGAGCCTGGCACGACGTGCTCGACGAGGTGCCACAGGCAGGGCCAGCTCAAGCCAAGCTGGTGCCCATGTCGTCGAAGATAGCACCAATGAAAGGCCAAACGTCCTGCGATCTGCAAATCGCGTCGGCTCGGCGGCGCTCGACCGTCACCCTGCGTCGAGTCGGATCGACAGACATGCCAGTCCCGAGGCCAGCCCAGCCTGATGCGCCCTCTGTGCTCGGAGGCGTGTGGACCCCCACCTGGTCGCCAACGTGCCAGGGGCCTTCTGCGGACTCGGGCGCGTGTCCAGAAAGGCCGCGGACGCGGGGGATGGGCGCAGCCTCAATCATGCGCTGCAGCGCAATCGACCTCTCCGACTCGCCGCTGCAATCGGCCAGGCCGCACTTCCCGACCGGCAGGGAGATCGGCGATGGCGACAGTCGCCAGACACCTCAACCGACTCGTCTGCCCCCAGCGGTGGCGGCATAGCTGTCTGCCTCCTGGAGACGACGTTGCACGGTGCGACGCCGCCAACGTCGGCGAGGCTGCTGCATTCAAATATGGCGCGACCAAGCAGTCGAAGCTGGCCCCAACGCCTTCGCGCTCCAGCTGCTCAACTGCGGCGCGAAGCGCGCGGCGCAGTGCAGCCCCGCGTCGTTCGATGGAGCGGAACCGCAGTCGCGGGGCACGGATATCCACCTGGACTCCTCGCCTCTTCATCGCGGGCAGGTCATGCCCGCCTCTCCTTCCGCGAAAGACGCCCCCGTCGCGCCGGATTTTTTCTTTCGTTTCAACCCCAACGTGTTTTCCTGCAGGGACTGGGGCGGCGACAGCCTGCAGAAAGATTCCCCGCCAGAGTTAGGCAGAGGTACAAGGCCACCTGCAGGGAACCTGCGAGTGGAAAAGCAGCACGGACCGCCAGCCCTCGACTGCACAAGAGGACGGGCGGACGTCAGCCAGGATGCTGGGCTGCGACGGCGTCGGGGCTAGGAGCCTGAGCTCCAGTCCACAGCAACACCCCAAAAGACGAGAGACCGACGGGGCTAGCTGCCCCCGTACTCCCGAGAAAAGAGACGCCTCCTCGAGAGCGCCGCGCATACCCCTGAGGCGGGGAGCCAGTACTCGTGCCGTACGAGCGCACACACACACACACACACACGAGACGG